CACAGCTCTGGTTCTCCCTATCTCTCCTTCTGTTTGACTTTTTTTTTTTCAAATCACCAAACTGTCATAGACAAGAAGTCACTCTTCTTATGAGGATCTAACCAAGTGTGTCCTAAGGATTAATTCCTAAAATTTTTGCCTTTGCAACCACTCAACTTTCTTTTTAATATTCTTTCTATTTTATTATTCTCATATTTCCTGATTATTAGGTCTTTCTTAAATGTACTTATAGGACCAGCATGGATTTTTTGCTTGTCACCTAATAAACTGTTTTCATTTGCATAATCTCCCTTGTCTTTGCCAACCTGTGAAGTACAAGTAATGTGACAGTGGTGGTGGTGGTGGTGATTGCCATGATGATGGTGGTCATGGCAATGATACTATTAATCATCCATAGGTCATTTATGCACTTGAGTTCATTTTCTTCTAAGGGTAATAGACTTGTGTTGATCTCTCTACCCCTTTGGGATCAATAGCGGATATGACAACTGGTTGGGCAATTAGCTACAGTTTAACTTTTCTAATCTCCTCATTTTTTTTTGCAAAAAGTAATAGACTCCTATTTCCTAGAGACTACTGATAAGCCACCCTCATCCAGTCATCTAAGCTCCTGATCATAGACAGGGAAAATGCAACTTACACCCTTGAAAAGAAAATGTTGAGTCACAAATACTTGAAAGAAGTTGATCAGTCTTGGAGTCAGGAAAACCAGGGTTCAAATCCTACTTCATACACTTACTAGCTGTAAGACCCTTGGCAAATTGCTTGACCTCTCTATGGCTGAGTTTCCTCAGCTATAAAGTAGAGAAAGTTGGACTCTAACTTCTCTCCTGGACCTTAATCTATGAATGTAATGGATAAACCTTGAAAGAGAATCTTTTACAGGGTCAGCAATTCCATTGATTTTGTTGTTAAGTAGTTTCAGTATTGTCTAACTTTCCATGACCCCTTTTGCATTTTTCTCAGCAAAGATACTGCAGTGGTTTGCTATTTAATTCTCCTGTTCATTTTACAGATGAAAAAAACTGAGGCAAACAGAATTAAGTCATTTTCCCAGGTTCACACAGTTAATAAGTGTCTGAGACCAGAATTGAACTCATAAAGGCGAGTCTTCCTTACTCCTGGTCCAGTGTTCTATCTACTGCCCCAAAATTTTAGATCCAGAGAGTAAACTAGAAATTGAAATAATACACTTATTAAATCCTAAAAGAGATCTCAAAATGAAAACTCCTAGGAATATCAAAACCAAATTCCTGAGATCTTATGTCAAGGAGAAAGTTTTGTAAGCAGCAAGAAAGAAACTATATATGTGTTCAAACATATAGTCAGACACCATGGAGACACAGTCAGGATCACACAAGCTTTAGATGTTTCCATGTCAAAGAAATGGAGGGCTTGGAATATAATATTCCAGAAGGCAAAGGAATTAGTATTACAACCAAGAATAACTTACCTAGCAAAAATAGGTAAAATTCTTCAGTGAAAAAAACAGAACCAGGAGATCATTGGACCCAATAAAAGCAATATTGTAAGGATGATCAACTGTGACATACTTATCTATTCTGATCAATGCCATGATCCAAACAATTACAGAGGATTTATGAGGAAAATTGTTATCCACCTCCAGAAAAAAAATTGATGGACTCTGAGTACAAGTTGAAGTATAATTTTCTCACTTTATTTTTCTTGTTTTTTTGTGACATAGCTGATTTGGAAATGTATTTTGTGAGATTTCACAGATGTAATTGGTATCATATTTCATGCATTCTCAGTGATCAGGGGAGGGGCTGGAGAGAGGGAGAGAAATTGGAACTCAAATTCTTTTTTAAATTTGTTTATTTTATTCTGAACTTAAAAAAAAACAAACATTTCCATAACATAGTAGAATAGAAAAAATATGATTGCACAGGAAATTGCAAGTCTATCATTTACAACTCTCCATTCCTTTTAAATATATAAAAAAGGTATTATGTAATGTTCTCTTTTTTTCCTTTTTTCTTCCTTCCCACCTCACCTCCCCCAGAGATGGCTACCATTAGACACAAATGTTTGTGTTCATATATAAACATATATATACACATATATGTATATATGTGTATAATCATTCTATATATATTCCTGTTTATCAGTTCTTTCTCTAGATTCAGATAGTACCTCCCTTCATGGGTCCGTTGTAGTTAATTTGGATATTTATTATAGTCAAAATGACTTATTTGATCTTTTAAGTGAAAAAAATTTTTTTAATAGAGTGAAGGAAAAAATAAATTGATTAATACTGGACTTAGAAATGGATAAATCCCAAGGCAATATACTTTAAACAAGTAAGCAAAAGAAGTCAAGTTTTTGCACCACTTGTGGAGTTAATCGTATAAATTATAATTCCTTTGTTTCATGCCCTGTAAGAATGTGTATGTGTTAAGATTGGAGAGGAAGCCTTTCCCAAGCCCCCTTAGTTCTGGTGTCTTTCCTCTGTTGATTATCTCTAATTTGTTCTGTATATAGCATATCTGTACCTAGAAGCTTCAATCCTGTCTCATGCATTAGATTGTGAATCCCTTGAAAGTAGAGACATGCTGCCTTTTTTTTTTTAATCCACAGCACTAAGTATAGTACCTTGATAAATGTTTATAGGCTGACTAAAATTATTTTATTTGCCTCAAGGAAAAACGAAAAATTTAGCAAAGTAGGTAGTGAATTGGTTAAATTCAGTTGTTATAATATTGAACATACCTGAATTGCATTGAACTCCCTTATGAAAAAGGAGGTTAATAAATAGGTTTAAAAATACAAATTAAAAAAATGTTGTATGTAAGGAACTAAACTATTGCAGAATCATACCAAGAAATTTAACTTGAGAAGATGGACTAAAATTATTCAATTCTAGCCTACAAATTAAATTATACTTTGCTTTCTTTTCCTTATTTAGTTTAAAATCAAAGTTTTCATTGTCACTAGCCTCCTAAGTTTCTACTACTTTACCAAGCACTTCCTCATCATTCATCTAAATTGCTTAGCTCCACAACCATGCCCCTATCTCCTGAAAGACAAAATTATTGCTATAAAAAGGCAAAAATAATGCTTAAGTTGGTGGCAAAATACTTGAAGTGGCCCATTGAAACAAAAATCATTCTTTAACCAATGTAATGATTTGTATAAAGAACTCATCATCTATTTTCTCCATTGGAACAGGTTGTGGGCAGTACAGTCCCAAGAAAAAAGAAAACCCTCCTATTTATCCTTCTCTTAAGCCCCACCTAAATTTTCTGCACTGTCTTGTTTCCTCATTTTCAGAGTCCAAAAACATCATGATAAAAAAGTTAATTCTATTGGGGCTCTTATTGAGTCCTCATGTGGTGATACCAATGAATGAAACAGATACGTTGCTTAGTCTTATTTCTGAGGCAGCCCATTCATTGCCTTTCTGTAAGCTTCTTTAGTATTTCCCAGGGTGTTGTTGTTTGTTCTTTGTTTTTGAAAAGGACCAATGACATCATGATGTGGAGGTAAAATAGTGGATGATGGGTTATGTCTTGACTTGCATGGTAATTGGATTTAGGTGAGGCAGAGCTGTGCAGAGTCATCAGCCTCCTTCTCTCTTACAGAGACATCAAATACCAGTGTCAGGACAAATGTCAGAATGATTGGCACTGGCCTAGGATGAGGTGGATGTCCGTGGCATTTTTGATGCCTGACCAAACTCTAAGCATTTTACACAGCCTGCTTTAGCCACCTTCATGGCCTTTAGAACAAATTATTCTCATTTGCCCATTCCTCCAAGAGAAGTCAACACAGGCTTAGAGTAGATATCCCCCCAACTCAATGACAGCTTTAAGGCCTATCAGTTACCCTCAACCTGGTTTAGCCTGTTTGCCAGAATGGTTTTATGGCAGTGTGGCTTCACTAAAGATCTAAAAAGAAACAACACCCTTTTCTTAGCAGTACTGAGAGAATTTGAGGTAAGTTGAGGTAAAGAAATCAGATCCTTATTTATCTCAAATAGGTGAGTAAACATCAAGTTTTTGCAACATTTGGGGTGTTATTAGTATAAATATAAGCCACAAGCATAGTCCATTTAGCTGGTTTGCTAAATGGTTTGCAAATACCTACTATTGGACACAAAGGTATAGATCATAAGATCACAGATTTAGGACTAGAAGGGATCTTGTAGGGAGGATTCAAACCCAGGTCCTCTGACTCCAAAATCAGCATTCATTCTATTGCATCAGGATGCCTCCCTCAGATGAACCTGAATCCATTACTATTAGTAAGAAATCAGTACAAATGTGTAGAAGATCTGCTGACAGTATATTAGCATCAGCATCAGCATCATCACCACAAAAATGGTACAAATCAAGAACAAACCTGATTAAATAAATGAATGACATTTATTAGGAGACAAACACAAAAACCCTGATGATCATGAAAACATTGAAGAATAAGAGGAGGAAAGACAATGTAACAAGAATAAAGAAATTGAAGATAATATTAGAAGCAAGAAAAATTTGACAGTTACAAAGACGGAAGCTTCAAGAGTTTGGCCATTTAAGATCCAGTTAGCAGAATCTAAGTGTAAGAATATGTTTATTGGATATCTATATAAGAGGGATGGAACTGGCCCTCTGTGGTTCCCTCCACCAATATACAGAAGAAGTGGCTAAGCAGAGGGTATTTGGGATGGGAGAGGGCAAGGAATGAACCGGCAATGGAATCCAGCACAAAGAGAATCATAGAAAGACTGATTTGGCTAGCAGCAGGAATATAATGGCAACAATACTCTTCAGCAGTTGGTAGCATGAAGTTGATGGCTTGCCTGCAAACTAGTCAAAAGATGATGATGACCTAAAAGTTAAGTAGTAGGTGGCAATATTAATCCATCAAATAGATACCAAAACTATGAATAGAATGATTGTAGGAAATCAGGTAGGTAGAAAACAAGGTTCCAGGTGAGACGATGGTAAGCAGGAACTAGAAACATGGCAGGTTGTTGGACAGCAAGTCAGTCAATAGCAGGAAGGTTGGCAGCAGCTAGAGACACAAGCAGTTGGGTGGCAGCAGGTGGTTCTGCAGCAAGTGGTTTCACAGCAAATGGGATGGCAGCAGTTTGACACAAGTAGGTTGGATGGCAACAGGTTGTCCAGCAGCAGGTGGGCTGGCTGCAAGAAGTCTGGCAACAGTTGGAATCACAGCTGGTGGGTTGGAAGCTCACAACAAGTTGTTCTGCAGCATGTTGGCTGGCAGCAAGGTATGCAACATCTGGACCCACAGCAGGCTGGATGACAGCAAGGTTGGAAACAGCTGGACACATAACAAGTGGGCCTACAACAAGTTGTTTTACAGCAAACTGTTCTGCAGCATGTTGGCTGGTAGCAGGTAGGAGCACAGCAGCAGGAGCTCACCATGGTGGTGTTTATGGAAATTTGTGTTGAGGTGCATTAGAAAGGTGCCCAGATTCTGAAAAGCCCTCCCATTCCAGGGCTTTTTGCATGTAACCTTACTAGCTGAGCACAGGTCAAAGGACAGAGTCCTTCCTTGTTGTTGCTTATGCCATGTTCTTTGTCCAAAACAAGAAGTTGCCCATACTAGTCACTCTTGACTAAGAGTTAGTATGAATCTTATTAGAATAAATGACTTTTTGGTTCCTCTATTTGAACTCATCCAATCCAATCTTTCCTCAAGAGTTAGAAAGTCCATCTTCGAAGATGTTCACCATTATCATGAAAGCATCTATCATCATGATTCAAGACAGGTCCATCATATGATAATTTAATCATCCTAAGAGAGAAATGGCCTTAGGTAGAGGTAATAATTCATGATATTCATGTACCACTATTTGGTTAGCATTCCCCAGTTGATGAGCATTTATTTTGTCTCCAATTCATTACTACAAAAAAGTGCTGCCATAAGTATTAGGGAGTTGGGGGGGGGCTTTCTTGCAGTATAATCTCTGAGTTTTAGGGGATAGACATTTTTCTCACAATTCCAAACTCCTCTCCAAAATAATTGAATCAATTCACAGCATAACCAATGCTCTTCATTCTTCTGGAGTCTTGACAACCGTCATTATTGATAAAGAGATAAATTGGAGCAAAATCTTGCCCACACACAGCCATTGCTAACAATCGTCAGGCTAGAATATGACCAGAAAATCTGCAGTCCACCATGGCTGAGACACCTCATGTCAGCAACTTTTTTCTAGATCTGTCCCAGATTGTGTGCAGCCTGTGATAGTTAAGGTTAAGAGTACATCTGTTACATCTTCTTCTACCAATAAAGATTGACAACTGCTTTGCAACCAAGGCAGTGAAGTCTTAAATGACTCATCCAGAGTCAAAGAACCAGTATGTTGCAAAAGTCTTTCTAAGTCCAATGTCAGTCGTCTAATTATTATACCACACTGCCTCTTTATGACTAGCCTACATAAGGGTAAATGCAAGCATTACTAAAATCCTTTTGGTTTCAGGTGTTGCACTTCCATACTAATGCATTTTTCTAGCTATTCTAGCTCTATGTCCCCTTTTCTTCCTCTGAGGAAAAGGCCACAGTTTAAGCAACCAGCATTACAGCAAGATGCACCAAGGTATGCCAACCCAAAATGTGCCTGCTCTGTTTTGAGGAATTAGACCTAGAGGAAAGGTCACAAATCTTACTATAGAATATAGCACAGGGTATGAAGTTAGGACCCAGCTATTTCAGGAAGACAGTCTCCTTCTTCTGGGGACTATTGATCCTCCTTTGTCCCTTTATCCTCACTGCTACAGTGGAAGTACAGGCCAGGGTGCTCAAAAGTTGACTCCATATTCAAAGCACAGAATCAAAGAATCATGTATGTGAAGTTGGAAAGGACTATAAAAGCTATCTAAGATAACCTTGCTCCTGAGAGGACAGCCTCATACTGCAATCTTCCCGACAGGTGGGTAACCAGTCTATGTTTCTAATACTTCCTTTAATGAAATTCTATGCATGATTGTTTTGATAGGAATATAGGATCTCCCTTCCTATTGCTCTCTATTTTTGTTCTGTCAGCCTGTCTCGGTCTATCTCTGTCTGTGTCCCTGTGAATCTTTATCTATGTCTCCCTTTTTGTCTCTGTCAATTGAGACTCTCCATCTATATCTCTCTGTGCCTGCCTCTCTGTCTCTGTCTGTGTCTCTTAATGTCTGTCTTTTCTCCTTTCTCTCTCTCTCGATCTCTGTGCATTCAGTGTCTGTCTGTCTCTATTTTAATCTTTCTGTGGCTGTGTCTGTCTCTTTTCTGGCTAGCTGTCTCTGTCTCTTTTTAAATCTGCCTATATAAAACAATTGATTATTAAATATTTTATTTTTATTAAATATTTTATGAACTTACATATATGTATGTATATTTAATTTATATATATTCATGAACATACATATATGAGCATATAATAATATACCTAGTTGTTTATATGTTATCTCCATAACTAGAATGCAAGATTCTCTAAGACTGGAAATATTTTTATCATTCTTTGCATCCCCAGTACTTATCATACTGCCAGGTACATAGTAGGTGCTTAATAAATATTTGTTGACTGACTGCCTCTATCATATAGTCACAGGTTCATAGATTTAGAACTATAAAAGACTGTAGAGGCTTTTTAGTTCAGCTGCTTCATTTTACAAATGAGGAAAAGTGAGGCCCAAAAAAGTCCACTATGTTGCCTATGATCACAAAGTTAATAAGTGACAGGGCCAAGATTTGAAAAACAGTTGTCACTCATTTAACTACCATTGGTCCCAAAGGTGTAGAGAGATCAAAAAAAATCTGTTAGAACTCAATTCTTTGAATGATTTATGAATAATGGATTAGTATCACCTGTGTTAACACCACCACCACCACCATCTTCTGTACTTCACAAATATACAAGGACAAGGAAGTTTATACAGATGAGCAGAGTTTATTTAAAGATAAGCAAGGAAGCTTGGTCTTATGAAGCCATTTAAAAATATTCATTGAAAGTGAGAATAAAGAGGAAATGTGATAACAATAAATTGGAAGCATTCTTAAATGGAAGAAAAATTGAGTGGGTGCAAAGAATAGAATCTCAGGAATTAACCCTTAGATTATAATTGGTCAGATTATGATCACAAAAAGTAACTTCCTCTCCATCACAGCTTTTTGATCTGAATGAAGGGTAATACAATAAGTCAACTATGGAAAGTCAGAGCCTTGGATAGCTGGAGAAATAAAATGGGGATAATTCCCCTCTACATCCCATGGATATGGAGCTGATAGCTCACCTACAAAGCTATCAACACATAATGTGACAGAACAGCACTAAATGACAATGGATTATCCTACATGCAAGAAAGTCTAAAGCCTTCAACAGAAAGATGGTGGAGAGAAAACTAATCTGTGAGAGAAAGGGTGATGACAAAAGTGTGGAATAGGAAGATGGCCACCTCTAAGTAGAATCATTGTACTTTTTGGAAAGCAAGTTGATCAACAGCAGGATGGGTGGCAGCAGCTGGAGACACAACAGGCAGGCCTGCAGCAGGGACTCTGGCACCAGAATGTTTGCAGCAAGCTGGTTGACAGCATGAAGGCTGGCAA